AAGGATCTGGGTTAAAAAAAAAAAAAAATCATAGGACTAACATCACACAACCGATTTTTACACAAGTTAACAGTGGCTATTTTCAAAGAAAAAAACCCAAAACAATGATAATGCTATATGCTCTAGTAAGTAACATAGTATGGAGTACAAGATTAGGCTTTTGGCTGTCTCCCAAATTCCTAGCCTAAATGAAAACAACAGAATAGTAACAGCCCCAGAAATCTCTTTCCTTAAAATCATCCAGGTTAAAAGGAGTCTGAAATATCATTTCTACTTCAAAATGGAAGGGATTGATACACAAATGGATAAAGACAATGTGGTAAATATACGTGATGAAGTATTATTCCCCTGTAAAAAAAAGAGTAAGACCTTGCCATTTGGGACAACATGGATGGACCTAGAGGGAATTATGCTAAGTGAAAAAAGTCAGACACAGAAAGACAAATACCGTATGATTTCACTTATATGGAGAATCTAGAAAACAAAACAGACAAGAAAATACTTAAATACTGATTACTAACTGGTGGTTGCCATAGGGGAGGTGGGTCGGGGTGGAGGGGCAAAATAAAGGGGATTAAGAGGGACAAACTTCCCATTATGAAATAAATAAGTCATGGAGATGAAAAGTACATAGTCAGTAATGTAATAACATTGTATGGTGTGACAGATGGTGACTACACTTACAGCGATGAGCACTGAGTAATGAATAGAAGTGTCAAATCAGTATGTTGTACACCTGAAACTAATATAACATTGCATGTTAATTATACTTCAATTTTAAAAAGAGAAAAAAGAAGGGATAAAAAATTCTAATTATGACCCTACCATTTAATAGTCACTGAAAATGTAAAATATATGTTAAGAGAGCAAATTAAGTAATTTTATACATTTGTATGACTAAATTAAAATCAAAAAAATTCAGTTCTTCAGTTGTACTAACCATATTTCAATAGCCACATACAGCTGCTGGCTAGCCTACTTGACGGGAAAGATACAAAACATCATCGCAGAAAGTTGTACCAAGAGCACTGCAATAGCGAGTAAGGTAGTAGTTACTACTAGACTTGAAACAGTACTAGAACACTCCAAAACCAGTATGGAATCTAGACAAACCCATAGATTCACCAGTTAATTTATCAGGCATTTATTCTGTGTCTGCAACTTACAGCAAAGCATCTTCCAGAATATTAAGAAATCTAATTACATAGATTACTGTGTATTCTTGGACACATTATTGACATATGCTTCCATTTCCATGTATCAAAAATGAGAAACTAATGGTATTTACTTCTACCTCACTGAGGCTACGTGGTGATTCATGTCCTAATAACCTGAAGATGACAAATTTACAAGACTCATCAGACCAGGCAAACAAATGACTGACATGGAGGATGAAATCTTGCTTTTAGAGACTATAAAAGTTCTTCTTTCAGATCTGTTGTAAAAATGCCACTTGGCACTAAAACAAATTGGGAAGACAAACAACCGTGCCCAGCCTTATACTGAGCAGGTTCTCTTGGGCTTTGTTAAAAAACAAACTTAAAATGTAAATATGCAGTTGCCAGCAGGAATAATAAACAAAAGATAACAACAATTCCTACCATATCAAACACTTCTGAGTCATGTTACTCTTCAGGAAGGAAATTAAAAATAGGTGGTGTTAACAAAGCTAAACAGTGGAGTGGATGAGATCAAGGAATGTGGCCAGGTCAGCATTTCAACTGCTCATCTGCACACTCATCCGTTCTCTGCATTCTCCATCACACCACTGATGGAAAGATAAAAAAAATCCACTCCACAATTTTGTGCTCTCTCAATCTGGTTTCCAAGAGGTAGAAAGATTCATACAATCATCACACTCAACTAGATTTAAGGATACATGTTTTACCAAAGAAGGGGGGGAAGAAGGAAATGTTTTATGTACTGCCTTTCAAGGAGGGCTGATCACGTAAAATATCTCGTCTTTTTCCAGGTCAGAACATACACACTAATTTCAATCTTTAACAAACACACAGAATCTCACTGAGTGGACATCCTATAGTTTATTTATATGAACTCCTACTGATGAACATGGGCATCATTTCTGAATTTTCACTCTTTTTTTTTTTTTTTTAAATTTTTTTTTTCAACGTTTTTTTATTTATTTTTGGGACAGAGAGAGACAGAGCATGAACGGGGGAGGGTGAGAGAGAGAGGGAGACACAGAATCAGAAACAGGCTCCAGGCTCTGAGCCATCAGCCCAGAGCCTGACGCGGGGCTCGAACTCACGGACTGCGAGATCGTGACCTGGCTGAAGTCGGACGCCTAACCGACTGCGCCACCCAGGCGCCCCTGAATTTTCACTCTTTATCAGTAATGTTATAAGTGAATATCCTAGTGCACAAATCTTTAAAAGCTTTTATTTCTCAGAAATTCCTATAAATAAAATAAACTGCTGGGTCAAATACTTACATGCTAAATTCTGGCAGTTGGCTTTAAACTTCCTCACAATCATTTCATATAATTTACAACCCCACCAACAGGGAGTAACAGAACCTGTTTTATCTCACTCTCTCCAAAGACTGCACATTTCTTTTCAGTCTTTACTAAATTAATCGGCCTCCTACCCCTTCCCCCAAAGATAGTTCATAATTCATTTATTTGTCTTTCTTTATTTCACTATTAGAAATGTTGGAATGCCTTTTCCTTATTGACTACTTACTTCTCTTTTATTGTTCCCCTAGGTCTTTTGTTCATTTTTCTAATAGCTTTTTTAAGGGCTATTAGGGAAATTAGCCATTTTTCTTTCCAACATCATGACATTATTTTTTCTCAATTTGCTTTCTGCCTACTTATGTTTCTGCTTTAGAGAACTTTCCAAACTTTTACACAGATATATTTAGCAATTATTTTGATGTCGAATGACTCTAGTTTTGTGTTGTTTTCTGAAAGGAGTCTGCCAGTGAACCTGTACCAAGCACCAGGGCTTTTACAACACTATTTGTTATATTTTCTCTCCCAATTTAAAAATACCTTGTATATTATTTACCAAATTCCTCCAAAACTTAAGAGTTGTTTTTTTCCTTAAAAAAGCACTTCCTTAAATGGACTTCATCTCCTAAATTCTTCCATACTTTTGCAACAATGATCTTTTTCCCCCATTAACAAAGTACTCCCTTAAACTGACTTTCAAACAGTCCCCCTGCAACAGAGAGTGATGAGAATTAGGAGCCAGTGGTCACACAGCACCCGGGTGGTACCAGAGTTGGCACATGGCCCAGTTTGGGGCATTACGCCTGTCTGGGCTAACCTGGGGATGGGTTAGAGCCGGCCCT